TGGTAATTTATCAGATAACAACCCAAAATAAATTCCGGAGACTTCTAAATTAAATTTGGGGAATGAATATTCATTCTAAGAGCCCATAGTGATTGTAAACATGATATATATTTTATTTGGCCCGATAAAATAAAATATAATTAAAACAGTCTGAAAAATACAACTTTCGGGACTAAATGTACATTTCAGGACTTAAAGAGATGACCTTCCACATGTGCGGGGGCCACCCCACGATTTTGGTCACACAAATCAAGGATTAGTGCGTCTGAAATGAGAGGAAGAAGATGAGGTAGTGTTGGGTTGAGTTGAAAGGCATTAAGGACAAAGGTGGACCTCACATCCCTCACTAGACAAAAGAGGTCTCTACCCTCTTTCCTCCTATCATCATCTCGAACCAAGCACACCCAAGAGAGAGGAAGATGCCTTCAAATATCATTCTTCCATAGCCAAGTCAAGATCAAACAAACAAGAAGCTCAAGGAAGAAGAAAGAGTTGCAAAACTAGAGAAAAACCTTGAGAATAAAGGCGAGAAGCTCTTTAGTAACTTTTCTTCCATCATTTAATTATCATATGACTTATATATCATATGAAGGATCCCTAGGATTGTTGTACATGTTTAGAAGTGTAGAATTAGGGGTTGGAAGGTAATTCTAAGTTCAAGAACGGACTTAGAAGCCAAAGCTACCGGTTCGGCAGAAAAATAACCTTTTAGAGACTATTTGTGTTGACATGAGTTCACTATATATTTTTTTAATAGTGAACCCCGTACTTTTTGGGCGTGCAAGCCCATGTTTTGGCCAGATATGGCCCATGACTTACCATTGAATATTTCCGCTATTCATTGATTTAAACGTGATGTAGTAATATATGTTTACTTACTGAGTATGAATGGACTATGTTCATGAACGCTTTGTATGCATGATTAAGTGAGATTGACTTGCAAGTGACGTCAATTGATCATGTACACGCGCTTAGATGCGGTCTAGGGCTTGAGAAGATTTTTTATAGGGAATCTTTCCTGTTTCGGCCGATGACAAGGTCAAATACTTTAAAGGCTAAAAGGTAAAATAGGCACATGTATCCTTCCACATTGCTCAATTTGCCCACTAAACTCAAAAAAGCTCCAATTGGCACCCTGAATTCGATAAAAAGATTAAAATTTCACTTTTTGTTGGTTATGATCAGGTGACCACCACGTCACTTGGCAGGGTGCCAACTGTGACAACTTAAAGAGTCAAATAAGCCCTTGAACCCGACAAAATCGTTCAATTCACCCCCTCAACCCTTAAAAAATGTCAAGATTACGAAAAAATAGAACTGAAAAATAAAAGAAATAAAATGTATTTATATTATGAAATATTAATATATTATTTTCGTAAATGAAACATAAATAAATAAAATATAAACTAAAAGAAGTTAATTTTAGAACTTTATTTTCAAATCATATATTTATATTTTTGCACATACAACATATGTGTGCGCGCGCGCGCGTTCTCACACACACATGATTGTATATATTAGCTTACTTTATATACTATAAATTACACATAATCCATATGTAGTACTTTGCATATATCATGCGTAAGAAATACTTTCATATATATAATAAACAATATAAATATGTTGTTACTATTTTTCATGTTTTAATTATTATATATGGAGTGACTTTTATATTACTATAGATATGAAGTGTAATTAATAACTTTGAAACAAACATAGATACATAGAAATAATATAATTTTATTATTTTTTGAAATAAATTAAAAAATACAAAATGAAAAAAATACAAATGGATCATGTGAACATAATGCTTCATATAAATCATCAAACCAAAAACCTAAAATTTGTGTTATCTTTCAAAATACTATATAATACATAAAATAAAAATTTAAATATAGCTGGTAAAAATACATTGTTGATTTCTTATATGAATTATATGTAGTAGTTACAAAATGTGGAAATAAAGTTAAAGAATAACTTTTAGTTTTTTTTTTCGCAAATTATAAATATTTCATATATATATATATATATATATATATATATATATATATTTTATATGTTCTACATGTTTTTTTTTTGTTTTTTTTTTTTGAAATTTTAACATTTTTAAGGGTTGAGGGGATAAATTGAGCGATTCGGTCGAGTTCAGGGGCTTATTTGACCCCTTAAGTTGCCACATCAGATGCACAGTTGACATCTTATCAATGATGTGGCAGTGATCGAATCACGACCAGCAAAAAGTGAATTTGAATGTTTTTATCAAGTTTGGGGTGTCAATTGAAGCTTTTTTGAGTTCTAGGGATAAATTGAGCAATTCGGACGGGACAGAGGCCTATTTGACCATTTAGCCTATCAAGTAAGAAATGAAATAATGCATATTGACTATCAACACTTCAACTCAGGTAGAGGAGAAGTAGGGTTTTATGCTCATTACTTTGGTTGATATCGATTGAATCATATAAAAGTGTACTATACATGAAATAATAAAATAAAAATTGTTTATGAGTAGTTATTATGTAGATGAAAGAAGATTACATCAACTACAAAACTATTATTTTAAGAGGAATTCATAAAAAATGAAATGATTAAATAAGAAAAGTTGATTAAGAGTGCGTTTGATAACATTGAAATTGAATGAATTGTTTGAATTTGTAGAATTGATTTAATATAATTTAATCGGCCGGATCATGAAAAAATATAATCAAAATTTATGTGTATCTGCTAAATGCCTCAATCGTTGTAAATGACTATATTATGAACTACAGACATTCGGACTTTGAGGTAGCACATAAACACACAAATAGTAAGACATTATCTACATAATTCAAAATCACCAAGTCTTTCCTTCAATAACCATTTCCAAATAATTCAAAATTTACAAAAAAAAAAACACTCATGTCCTTGATATTGGACAGATGAAGGATGTAAATTGAGAAAGGTTCACACATATCTAAATTTGGTTGGAATTGAAGTTATGATCTCTCTTGTTGTAACACCCCGATTTTGTGAACTAGTTTTTTTTTTAATATAATCAACCATTATTATTTATTTTAGTGGATTACATATATGAATAATGTGATATATTCTTTTAACATGATTTCTTGTGGCAGATAACGTTGACCGGTAAGCTCCAATGATTTCAAATAAATAAGTAATTAATGCTCTGAAGTTTAATCAATTTTAAAAGAGAGAATAGTAGTTTTAGTTGTTGGAAAATATTCCATTTAAATGCCCTTGGACCATTTATATAATTTAATAAATATTGGAGACATTTATGTCTTACCATTAAGTTTGCCATATGACATATTTGGTCTCTTTATTTATGTATAGTTAACATATGATGGGTATGTTTTAACATTAAATAATACATAAGGGGCCAATTGGGTTTCTCTTTGATACAAAACATAAATGACCGCTCGTTCCATTCTTACGACAAATGAGAAGGGGCGTGTCTCCTCCCAAGGGTCGCAAGAACACCTATAATAAGAGACCCAAGGGAGACTTAGAAATCCATCGAATTTGTTGTTTGTATCCTTAGAGAATCCACACATCCATGGCTATGGCTTCATCATCTTCTACAACACAATCAAAGTTTGGTTTCTCCTCGACTGGTTAGTGTTCTTCGATGTGTTTGATTCTGAAATTTATCATGTTTGTGGGATTACATTCTTAATTGGGACTGAATTTCTCAACATTTGGTATCAGAGCACGTTAATTCTCACTTACGTGATAAATTTTCGAAGTTTCCCGTTGATTCATCTTTTCCGCCGTCGCATGTTACTTCGGCGGGGTCTTCTCAATTGGTGGCTATTAATTTAATTTCCCCACGGAGCATGTTAATTTTCAATTACTAGTTTTCGCCGTTCATAAATTTCTATTGAAGACCAGATTGTGAATTCTACAAGTTTCTAAGTGCAACTACTTGTTTTAATTTATTTCTATCCTAATAATAATCATTCAATTTGGGGTTGATAGAAATTTGCAGTCATACTAGCCTGTAATTTCCGTTGATTTTCCACCTATAGCTATGAATTAGTTTCTTAGTTTTTTTTTGTTGATGCTCCGTGATTCATAATAAGTGTTATTCCTAATATACATGATCGATGCTTTATTCTTCTTTGAAATTCAATTTGGATTTGAATCACTTTGGTTGTTTTGGTTGTTCAACCTTTTGTATTTCTTTTATGGTATCTGAAAATCACATCAGATAAAATCCAGTTTTGAATCTACAGTTTTGAATTAGCATATTTTCTGATGCATAATTTTCATCCCAAATGCATCTATACAATTTGCAATTTGATTGTTTATGAAAATTTGAAAGCCATAATTTTGTTTTAGACAGTTTTGCAATCCAGTTTTGAACAGCCACGTTAGTTGTCAGTTGATGTTCTTACTTTCTTCTGGTGCAAAATAGGATGTAATGAACAGTTTAGTATCCATTAGAAATAAGTGCAAACTGGAATAACTCAAATCGCATAGTACAACCTATTACTACTGCATATCAGAAACTTTATTATGAACATATATGCAATTGGAAAAATGGATGGTTGTAAGATTAACAACACGATTTCAATATTAGTCCATATTCAAAGTTATAGTATGGATTATTGATTATGATCTTAGTGTCAAATTAATGGTCGGCCCAACGGAAGATTATTGATTTTGACTATCTTAAACAATTATATGAGTTTTCTTTTAACAAACCCAAAGGTGTGTTATTTGATAACTTATGTAATGAAATTTAAGCATAAATGAATGTGTTATATTTCTGCCCAAAGGTGATATATGACATATTTGCAGCCTAATTTTAATTTTAATACCATAATGTTTGATAGTTAGCATTAGCCAACGCAATGTTAGTTATTAAGCATGATATGAACTTTTCCTATTATTTGGTGTTGATAATAGGCTTATTTACTAATAATTGACATTCCTTATTGTATTCCCTTATATATTATGAATAGCTTCTATTATTGCCTCTCTTAAAACTTTTATTTCAGCATCTACTTTTACCCCGTACAATTATGGGATAGAACCTCTAAATGGTACAAACTTTTCAACATGGAGAGAATCTATAAAACTCTCACTTGGCATGATGGATCTCGACCAAGCACTGAGAATGGATCCACCAGGTGCTCCTAATGATGAAAGCACTGTGGAACAGAAGCGTTCTTATGAACAGTGGGAGAGGTCCAACCGAATGTGCCTCATGGTGATTAAGAATTCCATATCTGTAGCCATTCGCGGAGCCATTCCTGACTCTGAAAATGCGAAGACCTACCTAGAATATGTGGAAGAACAATTTAAGGGCACTTCTAAAGCACATTCCAGTACCCTTAAAGAGTGATTAAGGTGGGCAACGGAGAAGAATTAGAAGTGGAGGCCATTGGAACTATCTCATTAATTTTAGAGAATGGCTTCATTCTTCATCTTCGTGATGCTCTTTATGTACCTAATATTACTCGTAATTTAGTGTCTGTATCGAAACTAAGTGCTGATGGTTTTACATTTAATTTCGTATACAATAAAGTGACAATAAGCTTGAACTCAAATGTAATAGGATTTGGTAACATGGAGGGAAACCTCTATAAGTTATGCTTAGACACTAATTTTATGGAATCCCCATTGTCATTTAATATAACTGAAAATCCTTGCAAGAGAAAGAGAGAATTGGAATCGTCGTCCAATTTGTGGCATCAAAGGTTGGGCCACATATCACGAGATCGAATGATAAGACTCGTGAAAGACGGCATTCTTCCAAATCTTGACTTCTCAGATTATGACAAATGTGTGAAGTGTTTGAAAGGGAAATTATCTAAGAAAACTAAGAAAGGCGCCACGCGAAGCACCGGTTTGTTAGAATTAATACACACGGATATTTGTGGGCCTTTTCCCGATTCCATTAGTGGTCATAACTCCTTTATTACTTTCATAGATGATTACTCACGCTATATGTACCTATATTTGATTAAGGAAAAATCCGAATCACTAGATATGTTCAAGGCTTATAAAGCCGAAGTTGAAAATCAACTTGATCGAAAGATCAAAGTAGTGAGATCGGATAGGGGTGGTGAGTTCTATGGTCGACACACCGATATTGGTCAAGCTCCCGGTTCTTTCCATGAATTTTGTAAAGAACATGGGATCATCAACCAATATACCATGCCTGGCACCCCTCAACAAAATGGGGTTGCCGAAAGGCGGAATAGGACTCTTATGGATATGGTCCGAAGTATGTTGGCTAACTCAAATCTTCCCCAATTTTTATGGACCGAGGCCCTTAAAACAGCAACCCACATATTGAATAGAGTACCATCTAAATCTGTTCCTAAAACTCCATATGAGTTATGGACGGGAAGGAAACCTAGTCTACGGTACCTAAAAGTGTGGGGTTGTCCGGCTGAAGCAAAAGTGTATAATCCTCAATTGAAGAAACTTGACATGAGAACCATTAGTTGTTCCTTCATTGGCTATCCCGAAAGATCTAAGGGATATAGGTTATATTGCCCATCTCATACTACCCGGATTGTCGAGACCCGACATGCTGAATTCCTTGAGAATACTAACATTAGTGGGAGTAGTAATGGTTCAAACATTAATGATGAACTTCAAGAAGGTGATGGAATGAATCCACTTATTATACTGCCCATTCTACCTAACTCTTCACTTGAAGATCATAGTGAAAGTCATACGCCTCATAATAATGATGCAACAAGTCAAGAGGCGAATGAAACTCCAATAAATGTTGAACCAACTCCACCTGTTTCTAATGAAATTCCAGAAAATCAGCAATTCTTAAGGAGATCTCAAAGGGTGAGACGCCCCACAAATTTTGACGAATATTTGATATATTTAAATGAAGAAGCCGACTTTGATTTAGGGAAAGTCGTAGATCCTATATCTTTCCATGACGCCATTAATTGTGACCAATCAATTTATTGGAAAGAAGCCATGAATGAAGAACTTCTTTCCATGGAGAAGAACAATGTTTGGGAACTTGTTGAATTACCAAAGGGTCATAAGCCCGTTGGAAGCAAGTGGGTCTTTAAAACTAAATTAGATCCAAATGGAAATATTGAAAGATACAAAGCAAGATTGGTTGCTAAGGGCTACACTCAAAGGGAAGGTGTAGATTATCAAGAGACCTTTTCACCTGTCTCTCGAAAGGACTCCCTAAGGGTCGTTATGGCTTTAGTAGCTCACTTTGATCTTGAGCTACATCAAATGGACGTCAAAACAGCCTTCTTAAATGGAGATTTACACGAAGATGTTTATATGATACAACCAGAAGGTTATGTTTCTAAGGGTCAAGAACATCTAGTGTGTAAACTCAAGAAGTCTATTTATGGGCTCAAGCAAGCGTCTCGACAATGGTACCTCAAATTTGATGAACTCATGAAATCAAATGGCTTCATTAAAAACAAAGTAGATCAATGCACTTATCTCAAAATGAGTGGGAGCAAATTCATCATACTTGTGTTATATGTTGATGACATCTTATTAGCAAGTAGTGATCTGGATTTATTGCATGAAACAAAACGCTTATTATTTGGCCATTTTGACATGAAAGATTTAGGTGAAGCTTCTTATGTTATAGGCATTGAAATTCACCGAGATCGAGTCAAAGGGACGTTAGGTTTGTCCCAAAAGGCATACATTGAGCGTATTTTAGAACGTTTTAACATGCAACAATGCTCTCCATCAGTTGCTCCAGTAGTTAAGGGAGACGTTTTTGGGTCATTCCAATGCCCAAAAACCGAGGTTGAGAAAGAGCAAATGAAACTCATTCCTTATGCTTCTGTAGTTGGAAGCCTGATGTATGCTCAAGTTTGTACTCGTCCAGATATCGCATATGTATCCGGCATGTTGGGTAGATATCAATCTAACCCAGGATTAGATCATTGGAAAGCCGCTAAGAAAGTTTTGCGGTATCTTCAAGGGACTAAGGAGTACAAACTTACTTACCAGAGGTCTAATAATTTAGAAGTGGTGGGATATTCCGATTCTGACTTTGCTAAGTGCAAAGATGATAGGAAGTCTACTTCGGGATACATTTTCTTGCTGTCAGGTGGGCCAATATCTTGGAAAAGCCACAAGCAAAGACTTACGACTACTTCAACAATGATGGCTGAATATGTTGCGGTGTACAACGCAACGTGTCATGGGATGTTGCTAAGGAATCTTATCAAAGGATTCAAAGTAGTAAATTCTGTCTCAAGACCGCTAAGGATTTATTGTGACAATTCCGCGGCCGTGAGCTTCTCAAACAATAACAGTTCGAGTGGAGCGGGATTGTTCCTCGATACAAAGTATTTGTTCGTTCGAGAAAGAGTGGAGGAAAACGAAATTTGTATCGAACACATCAGCACGAATGATATGCTAGCAGATCCTCTCACTAAAGGACTTTCGCCTAGTATTTTTCAAAGACATGTCACTAATATGGGCTTGATGAAAGATCCTGTTTAGGAAATTATAGCGCAGTGCCTGAATAACTATCTTATGTATTAATTTCAAGTACTTGATATAAAATTCCTCCCTAAGTATGTTTTGTCTATTCTTCATTGTGCACACAAAGTTATTTTAATAGACAAACATAATACCCTAAGTTTAATGTCATTTGGCTTATATTAATCCTTATACTCTTTAAGAAGTGTCAAAGTATGATTAATGGGGTCCTGGGTTATATTGACCCGTCAGACTGTATTTATTTGCTTTGATATTATTATGGAGTAAGATGAATTTTTGGCCAAAACTTACTTTAACTTATGTATAAATGATCTCAAGGTCAAGTGGGAGAATGTTGGAAAATATTCCATTTAAATGCCCTTGGACCATTTATATAATTTAATAAATATTTGAGACATTTATGTCTTACCATTAAGTTTGCCATATGACATATTTGGTCTCTTTATTTATGTATAGTTAACATATGATGGGTATGTTTTAACATTAAATAATACATAAGGGGCCAATTGGGTTTCTCTTTGATACAAAACATAAATGACCGCTCGTTCCATTCTTACGACAAATGAGAAGGGGCGTGTCTCCTCCCAAGGGTCGCAAGAACACCTATAATAAGAGACCCAAGGGAGACTTAGAAATCCATCGAATTTGTTGTTTGTATCCTTAGAGAATCCACACATCCATGGCTATGGCTTCATCATCTTCTACAACACAATCAAAGTTTGGTTTCTCCTCGACTGGTTAGTGTTCTTCGATGTGTTTGATTCTGAAATTTATCATGTTTGTGGGATTACATTCTTAATTGGGACTGAATTTCTCAACATTAGTGGTATTAAAAACAAAATAAATTAATAACTAATTAGAAGCCCGATTCTATTAACTTGGCCCAAATAAGCATGTTAAGGAGTATAATCCCTAGAGAAAGAGTAATCTATACGGAATACTACGTACTTCCTCCGTTCTTAAATAAATGCAACAGTCAACATTTCACATTTGCCGAGGCACAACTTTGACCAGGCCATTAATATATATAATTCCCGATTAGTAAAAAAACGTTTAAAAAATAGATTCTGAAAATTTATAATGAGAAAAATTTAACAATATTTTTTTCAAAAATATATATTATTACATTAATAAATAAAACGTAGTCAAAGTAGAACATGTGAATAGTGTAAAAAGTCCAACGTTGCATTTAAAAGAGAACGGAGGTAGTATATATTATCGCTATCAAGACCTCAAGGCATAAACTCTCTCTTCGACCAGTAGCCGTGGTTCTATCCTCTATGTGCCACTTTTCCTTTGTCCCGGTGCCAAAATTAGGGTCCTGATCTTATTTGTATCACGCTACTCCAGGTAACAATCGAAAAATTATTTTCATTCATAGAGAAAGATGTTAAGAACGACCTGTTGCTTTGCCGTGATGTGATTAACCCAAAGTCTCTTTTAAATTAACCGTAATACTACGTTCTGAAATAATAAATCCCAATCTGGTTTTGAATATCCATTGTGGATAGCTATTTCAAATTCTCCAAGTGTTATACGTAAAGTTTTAGATGATAAAGTTGTGCTTTGTTTTTTTTAAAAAAAAAACCATGCTTATCAATGTTGATAACTCAAATGATTTCAAGTGCTCTTATAAATTGATGGACAACAAATTAGTCTTGTTTCAGAAAGCTTCGCACTGCTGTGTAAAGGTTTTCAAGTTTTAATATTCTGATTTTTTTTTTCTCGGTAGCAGCAGGAAAAAAATTAAAATTAAGTTCTAAGTTTTAGCATGTCTAATAAACAATTTAAAGTATCAGTACCTTGGCCATTTTTCATACTTAGCAGATTCTTATTTCATAATTACATTTAATTAAAGA